ACACACACACACACACACACACACACACACACACACACGGGAAATGTTGCAAGGAAAATAGAGCCCAACCCAAGCTTTCCAACTCATATAAAGCCTCCGTCCGCAGAGTGAGTCTTTGTGCGCTGAGGCCGAGTGTGGGTGTGACGATGGTGGGGGCACTCCCGCATCCAGAGAGGGGTCCTGGGAAGTCAGCTCCCTGTAGCATGAGGAGAGCAAACTTGAAATCTGGAGCCAGAATTCACTCTTTTGAAATGACTTTGGACAGTTCAAGCTTTTTCTTTTTATCTTTTTTTTTTTAATGCAACTTGTTTTAACTTTGAGCGAGGGAGAATAAAGTCTTTATCTTCCAGTAATACATCCTGAGATATTTATGGCTTTGTCCTGTCTTGGATTTGCTGCAGGGGAGAGTTGAGGGGGGGTTGGCTGGAGGCTAAGCATCATTCACTGGACTGCATCTGGGTGGACAGCGCCGGATCGCCTCGTCTCTCTGCTTTGATCTATTTAAAATGTTCCACAATAAACACTTTAGGCATCACTGGGGTGGCACGCAGGGTTAAGCGCTTGACAGTTAGCTGAGAGGTTGGCAAATCAAAAGTCTATCAGCAGTGCCTCTGGGGACTGACCTGGCCCTGGGCTTCCAGAGGTCATAGCCTGCGGTCTGCAGGTCTACGGGAATGGACCCGGTAGGAACTGGTTTTGGTTTTTTTTAACCCCGTGTCGCTAAGCCTGAGAGCATGGTGGCAGTGCTGCTGGCCTGGAGGCAGAGTTGTCGCGTCCCTTCTCGGGCCACCCAGCTCCTGTCCCACGTTTGTACCCATGGGGTGTTACTGGTCCCTAGAGCTTCGTTTGGGGCTGGTGGTTTGGGCTCAGTTCCCCTCATGTCTTTTTGTTTTGGGGGAAGGAGGGTGGGGGAGGCAAGAGTTGAAAAGAAGACTGGCAGGGTGGCAAGTGCTGGTGGGGAAATGCAGTCTGATACCCCACCCACCCACCCACCACAACACATTGCCTCTGGCTCTGCCTTGGACTGGGCGTGGCGGACCCAGGAGCGGCTCACTCCCCTCTCTGGACCTCAATTTCCCCGTCCATCAGTTGAGCATTCTGACAACCCAAACAACGCGGCAGGGGCTGTAGAGGTCAGTAAGTTTCTAATAAGCCTGAGGACCTGGAAGAACGTCATCATCGTCACTAAAGGGACCTCTGGTGCGTAGCAGTTACGCATTGGGCTGTGATCCACAAGGTCAGCAGTTTGAAACCACCAGCCACTTTGAGGGAGGAAGATGGGGCTTTCTACTCCTGTAAACGAGTGCAGTCTTGGAAACTCAAGGGGCAGCTCTTCCCTGTCTTATAGGGTCTCGACAAGCCGACCTGAACCTGATGGCAGTGCACTGGAAGGTTCTGAGTGGAGACCATTGCAATGGTGTCTGCTTCACTGTGCATACCCTCCCCCATACTCCAACAATGCATGACATTGGGGGGATGAGGGTGCTGTCAGGGGAGACCCCCAGAGTCCCTCGGGCTCAGGCACTAGATCTCATGATGGCTGTTGGCTTTTGCAGCCCCGTGACACAGGATGACAGCAAGCTTCACCACCTCGGCAAGCCCGGCAATGCGTCCGCCCCGACCCCCAAGGGGACGGGACAGGTCAGTGGGCCTCAGGGCTATGGGAGTCCCCATGCAGGTGGGTGCAGGAGGAGCAGCCTGGCGGAGGCTGGGCCACAGGACAGAGGAGGCAGGGAGCATGCAGGGGGCACAGTTGGGAGAGCAGCACGATCCATGGGGCTCTGGGGTGGTGGCTGCCCAGGCCTGCTGGCACCTGGATGATCTGCCTGTGTGCGCTGGGGGTCATACTGGACTGCTCTTGTAGCCAGGACCACTCCAGCTTAATCTCAGGCTGAGCCTATGGCCCTCCCTCCCTCTGTCCCCTGAGCCCCATCGTCCCCTCGCCTCAGCTTAGAGTGGAGGTGGGTGAAGTGATAGTTCTCCTTTTTCGCAAATGCCACCTGAAGGAGCTCTTCCTCTCTCTCCTGATTTCTGTGAGGGGCGTTACCGACTGTGATGGTAGTCCCCCCTCACATCTACCCTAAGTCCCTCCTGCTCCAATCCCTCTGAGGAGGCAATTGGCAGCCAGGAGCCCAGAGGAGGAGAGGAGCTGGGGAGGCCCAGTCCGGGAAGCGCTTAGCTGCTGCCCAC